ATAATTTTTACCCCCGTTTTATCAATTATAGCCAACCTCCATGCTTGCGTATTACCAATTCTGGTACTTTCTTTAAGGGACAAGAAAACATATCCTGCCTCTAAAGTCTCTGTCCACTCATGTCCTCTCCTTTCTGATTAGTGAGTCCATTTTGTTTTTGCTTTGTCCTGGTAATATTTATGATGCAGGCTTTTATCTTTGTGATGAGTACAAAGCTCACAATTGTAAAACCTTTTGTAAACACAGGACACACTCCCAAACACAACTCAAAAGTGCTTCTCAAACCAAAGAAGTGACGACATCAAAATACCAATTCCATAAACACTCGAATCATTTTTGTGTCTCTTTGGGTTTTTTGTTGTTAAACTTGTGATTCAAGAGCCGCTTGTGTCTCTATTTACATGCAGGACACACTGAAACTCATCAACACAAAGCCGTGCATCATCTGGTTTTGGTCCGATCTGAGGCCTGCCTAGTCCACTGCCTCTTCGCCGCCTAATTAATTCCGCACATCGAGCATGTCCCACTATAAAGTACTCAGCCTCTTGCATGTGTCACACTCAATCTGTTCCCCCTCTCCAGTGCGTCTCTTCAGCTGGCTCGCGTCATTTCAGTTCCCTTTTGCTTCTGATTGCCTTTGCCCAAAATGTCAGGACTTAGATTGTGTAATTTTTCAGGATTGTTTTTCTTTGCTTTCAGAAGTGGTTTCCTTTATCACACCATCGCCAATGGCATGTTTGACACGGTTAGTAATCCATGCAAATATTTGAACTACTAGAATAACTCTTTTTAGTCCCACCGTGATATCTACATTCAGAAAGTTTAAAATGTACCTCAAGCGGTATGATCTCACCTATAACCTCACATTGTGTTTTCTGGGATAGATTATCAGGTCAGTTTAATTTGTAAAACCTAAGTATCTTGAAGATGCATAATAGTCTTCTGGCTCTTTAAAAAGAAGTTTGAGCTTTTAACTAAATTGTATCACATGTAATTACTTCCACAACATCACACTGCATTTTCTCCTCCCAGGGACTTGGTGAGTGACTATTTTTGGTCCTCACTGTGAACTTATTCCCTCCACTGTCTGCATACCTTCATGCTTATCCATCCCTTTCTCACAGTTTGCAATTAGCTAATGCCTGGCTCAACCCAGACCAAACACAGTAACTCTCTTGTCTTGGGCATATTTCGAGAGCGTCATTTTCTGTCGTGTTTACAGCATTAAATTTGCCACTCCGAATGACCCCAGACTGTTTAGATTGCTGCTTTGAAGATAGATGCTCACTGCTAATCAATCATGCAGTCAGCTTGTCACTTGACCAGGGCAAAAGGGCAAGAAAAGTTAAGTGGTGTCCACATGGGGCTGCTTGACCCGCTTTGCTGCCTGATGTAATACAGGCTAGCAACATGGAAACTTACTAACTCGTCGTGTTTCAGCAAAGACTTTAATTAGTGTTCTGTATTCTTTAGGACATCGTCTTCATGTCTTCTACAAGGAGAGGTTTTCAGCCAATTTACGGGTCAGGTGGATGACCCCTCTCATACAGAACCATAAATTTCAGGAGCGGACTAACCAAAACGTCATCAATAGTTCGAGTTCGAGTACTTTTCAATGTAAGTGAATGCAATTAAAGGTGACAAGGAGCAACTCCTCTCTACTGGGCCTGATTTATTAAAGCTGTGTATAGAACTCAAGTTTGTAATGTTTTTATTAGCATTAATTAAACATTGCTCTTTGAATACATACACATATATTTAAGTTTAGTAGATAAGCAAATAATTCATCATGGGGATGCTGCATATACAAACCTTGCTCACACATATGCTGTTGTGTCCTTGATGTGGTCCATTAGGGAATCTTTTTTTCTATACCTGCTAAGTACCTGTTTTGTAAAAATAAAAACTTTGATTTTTCAACTCATGAGGCTCTTCCTGTTTGTATCCTAAATATATGAAAATGTATTTCCTCACCGTTGACACGAGAAAACTCAGTTCCCCTTTGGGTTACCCAATATATCACATATATTTTTTATTTTCTTGTCCTTATTGTCGTTAATAATGTTTGTCACTTCTGAAGTTCACATTTCAACACCAACCAAAAACAGAATTTGAGATAAAACAGAATCCTAACCACTCTTTTATACATTCTTGCACAAACCCAAAAGTCATTGTGGACAGGAACACAATGTGGGTGGATGTGGCGGCTCAAAAAATAAAAATGTATTCATTGTGCAAAATAAAAGGATGGGGAAGTGAATAGAATTTTTCTGTGGCTTTGGGAGCCCAGAGGAACAGTGTAGAGGGCAAACTGGAGGCCAACTTTTACACGGCAAAACACAAAGGGCCGTCACAAATTCTTACACATTAGACGTGGCAGCGGTTCTCTCTGGAATACATCAAACATCAAAGATGTATACGTTCCCGGCACTACTTTACATTCTTTACCTCTGGCTTTGTTCTTTCGTTGGTTTGTTCAGATTTCAAGACTGTTCAGATTTCAAGACTGTTCTAGCTTAAGTCTTCCTTAAAATGTGAGACAGGCTCCTACTCTGATAATATTTAAATGCAGGATGACGATCGTTTGGTTTAGGCAAGGCAAGTTTATTTGTATAGCACAATTCATACACAAGGCAACTCAAAGTGCTGAACAAAACAAGAAAGCATTAAAATCATAAATAATCACAGAAGATTAAAAAGAAAGATAAAAATATAAAATCCCTCAGTTGTATGCACAGCTAAACAGAACTGTTTTTAACCGGGTTTTAAACATTGTCAGAGAGGAGGCCTGTCTCACATCTTCAGGAAGACTGTTCCAGATTTTAGCAGCATGGTTGTGTTGTGACTGTCGTATGCAGCTTGTGTCGCGTTATGAACATGTGTTTCTGTTTTATCCCAGCGGAAAGAAACCGACTTTCCCCAAATTCACTATCATTGCTGACCCATTTCCCAAGTTCATACAAGCATAAAACACCCAAACAAATCAATGAATTATGGGTAAAAGAAGCATCATTCATACCGTTATGATCTGGATCACCGTCTGGAGCCATGAATTTTTTTAAAGTAAGACTCTTGGTGGAGATGCGCGCTCTAGGGATGCTTTTAGAACTTTTTAATATTCTTGACAATTGCTATTAATACTGATTAGTCTTTGCTGGTGAATTGTGGTTCGTAAACATATTAGTTTCTCTGCACAATAATGGGGTCTTGTTTCTTGAACTGGACTTACTATATGGATTCGTGGCTCATCAGGATATAGACGGAAACCTTGAGCGGAATCAACAGTTATATATGTGTTGTGCAAAGGATGAAAAACCCTACTTCCTCCACTTTTGCTCATGACTTTCTTAACATTCCGTCTTTGTCCTCGGATTGAAAAACTGTCTACTCGGGTTACAGTGAACATGCACGGAGGATATTGTGTGTCCCGCTGTGAGATGTAGGGTAATGGCACACCATCATTTAGGCCCAATTCAATAAGCGAATATCTAATAAGGCCTTGGAAGATGCTTAACCCTGGATGCAGGAGGTCAGCTGTGCAGATAGCACAATAAGCTGATTAAGAGAGGTTTCTTCTCACGTTGCGGTCATCACTGGATTGACCAGCTCCTGACCCCACCGGAGCACTGCGGTTCCTTCAGCCCAGATGCGTTCTTGAGTTTGGATAAACCCACTATTTACGGTGTCTGATTACAGCTTAGAGCCTGAGATGGCACAGGAACAGGGAATGAATCTATGTCGGGAGATAATGCATTAGTTAAAAGGAGTGATTCATCTTTCCTTGCAATCCAGTTATAGAAAAAATATTTATGACAGTGTAACATTAGCACAGGGTTTTGCTGCACAGAAGGTATTTTTGCAAAACCAGAAACACAAATACTAAAAACAACATGTTTCATAAGTTGTGGCTTGTTTTATACAACCTAATTCCTTTTTTTTTTTTTTTTTTTTTAAAGCCGTCCACATGTGAGGGTCCACAGGAGCAGGAAATTGTCTTTGCTGCCTGATAATGACTTGCTGTCTGGGGAACAGATGAAGCGATATGCAAGAGAGGTTAAGGTGAAAAGGAGGTAACGGATCATTCCATCTTGTCACCAATCCGCTGTGACTGAGCGGTGACTAACAGACCTACGCAGTAATGAGAACACGCCAGGCTTACACTGGTCCTAAAAGACTTCCAGATCGAGCAGTAAGAAGAGACACGGATCAACCCAAAATTCAGCACAGAATTTCTTTGGACATGGCACATTTCACTCGTCCTAAACTTCCTGCTGGGTCAATCGCGCAAAAAATACTACATAGACAGGATGGTTTATTTAAAAACCTTGGGAGATGTGGGGCCGTACGTCTAGGTGTCAGCAGTTCCCATGAGAGGGAGAATCAGCTGAAGCATTGGTTTGGGAGAGAAGCATGGATCATTTAAGAGGGCACTTTCAGGCCAGCAGACCTGGGTGTGTCAAGTTACTACACGCAAGCTGTTGGTTTGTCTGTAATTTGAAAGTCCTGCTGAATTGGATATCAAACAGACGGATCAATATTTGCTTATAGCGTTGTTGAAATGATATAGAATAGGAGTGTATAGCAATTCAGTGGTGTTTTGATTTATAAATATATTACTGTTGCAATTTTGATACACATTTTAAATATAGGGGCGACAGTGGCTCAGTTTTCATTTCATTTCATTTTATTTATTAGGCAGGAAAGATTTAAAACAAAATCGGGCCTGGCTCAGTACAAACTGATTTTCAGCAGGTTCCTGCTCTGCAGAACACACAAACATAGCATTAACATCATTACTCGACACAAAACATACTGTCACACATAAAAGAAGGAACACACTGGTGTGAGGCTATAGTGTCCGTCACTAGTGGTCACAACGATAGCTGTCCGTCAGATGTTTCAGCATAGTCTTTTTAAAAGGTCCAGGTGACTGTATGGTTCACACATGTATGAGCTCACAGAAGAATGAATTTTGTCCGTAGGTGTTCCTGTGGTGAGGTATGGGTAAGATTTGGTTTGTGGTGGATCTGGTTGAACGCTCGGATCGAGAGCTGGGTCTTGGAACCAGAACAGACAGTGAGGCCGATGGGCAGTTGTTGAGCAGGTGGAAGTAGAGCTTAATCCCATGGCTCAGGGCGTAGTTCTGGAAATTCAAGGCCCCAGACTGTGATAGAGCAGTGCAGTGGTGGGTCCAACCAGGGAGCCTGTGGTGGATCTTATATGCTCTATTGTAGAGTCTCGCCACAGGTTCTAGTATTTCCTTAGTTGTGAGCGTCCACACTGGGAGACAGTAGGACAGGGTAGAGAGTATGATGGCATGCAGGTATGTCCTTGAGACGGATAATGACAAACATGCTCTGATCTTACCATACACAAACAGTTTTTGGTTTAACTTTTTGGTGAGGTTTTGTATGTGGACACTGTATGTAAGGTGAGAGTCAAGGGTTACCCCCAGGTATTTGTAGTTTAAAGCAGTTGAGAGTTTTTGGTTTGCAATGACAAGGGGGTTGGAAATGGACAGCTGTCTCCGTGGTGAGTGGAAGTACATGCATTCTGTTTTCTTAATGTTAATAGTTAAATGATTGTCTTGGAGCCATCCATGTAAAGACTTTAAATCTGAGTTGAGTTTTTGATTAATGACCTCTGTGTTTGGGCCAGATACAAAGATCACTGTATCGTCTGCATAGTTGGTAGAGCATTGGCCTTTGAGCCTGAAGGTTGTGGGTTCGAGCCCACCGTAAGACCTACTTAACAACTCCCACTGATGACTGCTGTAGTTGTGTCCTTGGGCAAGACACTTAACCCCACTTTGCCTGAAGCCCCCATTGAAAGATCTCAGCTCCTGTGGACTCGCCACCTGCAGGAGGATAGTGAGGGGCTGGTTCTCTGTGTACTGGGTGCAGCTCTGACTGCCACCCCCCCGACCCAGAAATGGATTAAGGGGAAGAAAATGGATGGATGGATTTTAAATATAGGATAAACAAACAGGAAAACTTAAATATAGGCTATACAATAAATCTGTACTGACTCAAGGTTTTGCTCCAGTGATTAATAGCACTTCCCTTTGCTGTCAATCCACATGTGTGCTGTGGATATTTCATAAAAGACACTATTCTTAATTTAGAAGTGAACTCGTAGACCAAATACAGAGGAGAAATGTGCAGGTTCCATATCTTAAAACAATTCTGAATCCAATAAAAATGGGCTCTCTATTCCATTTCCTAGGTTCCTTAAACATGTCTGAAAAAACACAGTACAATTTGTATCAGTTTTACACTTCATATTGAAGAGTAGTGTGAAGAATGTTCAAATAGAGTCCCAAACTTTATTCTAGTTCAAATTCACAGGCCTTCAGAATATCAGTCCTATCATATCTATATGGTATATGTATATTCACAGGACATATTCCAGGAACACACAAGTACTATACTCCTGCAAAGGATGTGCCTGCAAAGGGAACTGCCAAGACACTCCATGTGTTTTCATGGGAGTTCTTATTGCAAGTAAAAAGAAGAAAGACGATCATTGTGGCATTTTAAAGCAGTCACACCATATAAAGGTTTATATACAGTATGTCCAGTCTAATCAATTATTATTAGCCAATAGGGGGACAAGGTTAATCAATTCATGCTACCAGTTTGGGACAGAGTACAAAGCCTTGTTCACAAATCCAATGCACAAATACAGAAATACTCTCAAACCTTTAAATTTAAATGAAGTGGAAAACCTTTTTGTTGAAGGGACATTGCGACACATTTCGACCCCTCTTGGGAAAGTATATTTCCCACGGATCCATGAAGAGCACCTGACCTCTCACGCTTACCCTACATTGCTTGATCCCCGTATGCATTCACTCATGTTGTATTTTAAATTTAAATGTTGAAAAAAAGAACGAGTACATAGTTTTTTTTCCTCTTACAGTTGTAAAGTGACTTTGATGGGAAAACAACATTGTGACATGGTAGAGTTGAGGCACAAAGCACCAGATGCTGCAGTTGTGTTTCACATTTGAGTGCAGAGCTATTCTGGTCCACACAACAGTGCCAATCAGCGCCGTCAGAACACAATGTTTATTGAGTTTGCAGGAAGCCTCCTCCGCCTCCTCGTGCATTAATTATGCTAATTCAATAGAGGAAGTGCTTCAAGTTGATGACATACTCAACTCGTTGGCTAATATTGTTGCCATTTGTTAAAAGGTCAAGCCGAGGGTGCTCCTTCTGGTGAATTCTGCTTCTAATTTCCCTCTTATACACATGTATATTTGATGAAATATCATGAAAAATAGAAAAATAATCGACACTTTTCTTATCATATTTTGTAGATTCATTGATTTATTCAAGTTTATTGAGGCACCCCCTTTGTGTAATCCTGTCAAACCTCTAAAGCTAAGCCGGACAGGGCATGGTTAGTACTGTGTTAGGTGCCACGTTGGGGCGGCTGCGGCTGTAAAGTGCAAAATTGATTTTTATTGATATTCCAATATTCAAAATTGTTTCAGCTGAGAATGAAGAACCATTGAAGAAGACCAAATACATGGATATAGTCACACTTGGCCATGTAGGTAAAGGTAAAGGTGCACTTTATTGATCCCCATAGGGCAATTCATCTGCATTTGACCCATCCTGATGCCGCTAAGGCTTACGTCAGGAGCAGTGGTTATCGTAGTAACAGCGCCCGGGAACCCATCTCCAGATGTTGATGCTCGGCTTGGTCAGGACTACCGGAGCTGGACGATTTAATCAAGTGTGCATGTTTTTAGTATTTAGTATATAGTATTTTGGTACAAACATTGTACTTTCCCTCATTGATCATCTACATCATTCCAGTCTCCTTTTGTCCTCAGTGCATCCTGGTCTAATGTCTCTGTCCATCCTGGAGCTTGTTGACGCTGTCCCGATTATGCAGGGTGTGTTGTGGTTGTGCTTTGCTAAGTAGTGTAGGCCAATCAGGAAATGCATGCTTGTTTTATCCACTGGCGCGTCTCCGAATTCACCTTGGGAGACACCTGTCAGATTCAATAGCTTCACGTTGTTTGGCCAGAGGGGCTTATTGAAGGTGAAGAAGTTGTGAGTGTGGCCAAAGAAGAAGACTACAGCGTCACACTAAAGTGATTTGCCTTTTAGATCTGTTCTCATGGGAATGGTTTAAAATTGCTTGAGAAGATTGGTGTAAATGCGCTTCGGACATCAAAAGTAGAGCAAAGCGAAGAGGTAATCAGATTTGAAGTTGGAACAGAAAAAGTGTTGTCACATGAGAGAGTTTACAGAGATGACCAGTGTTCCCATGAAGGACCTCGTTTCCAGTTCAGTTATCAGACATCCAAGAAATTCATTAGGACTTGGATAACATTTGTATTGATTTGCATTTTTCATCAGTTCATGTGAGGTAGGATTTAATTTGAGCTGCATGATGGCTGAGTGGTTTGTACTTTTGTCTTAATAAAATATACTGGGTTTGAAATCTGGGGCAATTTGTTAGGGAGTTTGCTTGGTCACCCAGTACCTGGATATGTAAAACAGGCTCATGTGGACCGAATATTCTGAGAGAAATATTCTGAATTCTCAGTGGGACCTGGTTAAAAAAGGGTCATTGATGCTAGTGAGTTCAACATTTTTTATGGTCTCGTGGAACACCGCTAATATTGTGAACTTCTGAGGATAGAGATTTGGAAAATGATAGGGAAAAATTAGACTATTAGAGTTGGAATTAATAGATTGACTTTCAAACAACAAACAATGACTGTAATACAATCCTAAAACCAAAAATTCCTTTTTACTTTTATTTTCATTTGATTTAAATATCAAACAACATCTAACATGAGTTAAAGGAGCAATATGTAAAGTGGTACTGCAACCACTGCAAGGATGAATCCAGCTGGGTCCATAAAATCTGGATAGTTTTGCAAATCTATAACCAACACCTTTTTCACAAAGGCCCTGATAGAAATCACGGTTTTATTCCTTGTTTTGTTATTAATGATTTGAGAATCATAACGAGACCATTTTTTTGTTCTGCGGCCACATGCTCCTTAGCTTGACGCGGTGAGTTCTGGCAACCTGGATCATGGACTTTCTGATTGGTGAAACAATGGAGAGCGGGACATCGAAATAAAAACAAGAACAAGATTTAGGGGCTGTAAAATTAATTTAGAATTTTTAATCTCTTTTGATCTTACATATTGCTACTTTAATAGTAAATATAAAGACAAGCAAAACATTGTGGACTAACAAAGTGACTCGACAGAAGACAACATTCACCCTCATTCTATAAGAGGTTGGTGCTCTATTTCATCCTCTTCCAATAGTTTCTCACAATGTTTGTTTCACTCTAGTTCTATTTTTGTATGGTCAGTATTGGATTGATTATAGAGCTGCGTAAATGGTTCCACTGACAGAGTTCTTTCAATGCTTATGCCTCATATCATTACATATGTCCTTGTTTCTACACCTTCACACATTGTACCGGTGGTAGTATGTTAAATCAAAAGTGTTTCTTATCGTGAGGTTGAACTCCTTCTGGCCTTCTCCATGACTAACCCCAGCCTGGGAGCTTCTGATCCTGTGCTGCGTTTGACCTGATGCAGCCTGCTCTCCCATAGCTGCATTTCTTTTTTTTCCCACACAGAACATATTACCTCCCTTCAAAGCCCCGTTGCTGCCTGTTTAGCCGTAATGTGCCATTATGCGTGGCATCCTGAGCCGGCCGGAGCACAAAAGGAACCACATGTGGAGAGCTGCCACTGCCCAGAGCTACTATATATAACATATGTCAGATACTGTACACAAGCCTATACGCCAGTGCTGATGTTACATGGGAAAAGGCATAATATTATTCATTTCCTCTTCGCTGCAGGAGTTACAACCGCACACAACAGTCTCACAGATGTCTGCAAGCACATTTGACATGGTTTATCTCTTTTGAGCGCTGATTGTACGGTATTTAGGCCAGTAATTTGCGGCGGTATGTGGAACATTAGAAGTCGTTAAAAGGGTCAAAGGGAGTATGAAAATGAATCGCCTCTTCATAAACTTCCCCCTAATTTCATATTCCTCCGTTACATGTCTTGAAATGTGGATAAGTACAAAATAAAACCGCCAGAGAGAGATCAACTGCTCAGCCAACCACAAACTTTGAAAACCACTTAAGCAGACGTCGGCGCATATTTGACCATAAAGAAGAGGATTTTAGAATGCCAGCTGACTTCAAGCTATCAAAGATTTTGTTTGTCCAAATATAATGTAAAAAGTAAAGAAATGCTGTGAAGAAAATCAGACCACAACATCCTGCCTTCTTATAAACACTTTATTTTTTCGTTTGCATCCTTAAGTAAGAAAGAGCTCTGTGTCTGTACCTGTGGATACAATTGAAGATTTTGATTCTATCTTCACTAATTTTAGTAAACTGTGATTATTTTGTATTGTAATGCCTTGTGTGATTATTGCTGTGTATGCACTGTGCCATACAAATACATATCATATAGTAAATATGTTTGGGTTTGAAAGTTAAGTATCCTAAAATGTGGTACTTTTGAATTGAACTGTACCCTCACAAGCTAATCTGAATTATCAATAACTCACAGATGAGAAGGCTGAGAATGTGAGAAAACTGGAATCCAAATCACAGCAATTGAATCTCCTCATAGAAAATCCCCCGAATGACTGCTAATTCGATAACGTTATTTAATATTGTAGAGTTTTCAAGTTGGAGGAAAATTTGCGAACTGTCTGTGGGTTGTTGTTTGGGCTGGTGCAAGTTCAAATAGATTTGTGCAAATGAGAAAACAACATCAGGGCTAAGTTGGCGTCTGAAGGTGCTGTCAAAGGCTTTTTCCTCGTTTCATCCTCCTACACTCTCACCCCTGTCATTACCGATGGCTCTGAGAGAGTAGAGAACAAAGGCCGGCCTCTGCTTATCGATCACGGAGCACGGCTATCAATCGACCGACTCTTCCCCGTTTGGCCCCAGATTGGTACGGCTGATCGCTGCGTGTCGGGCCGTTGATGCCGGTGCACATCTTAAGTACACATGATGAGAGGGGATTCTGTCTCATCTTGACACGTTGGCATTTCCCGTCAGGCCTCGGGATAGATGGAAGCACTTAAGGACAGCACATGTGGAATCTGTGATGTCCGACGAGATGAAATGTAGCCACAAGATAATTCACCGTTTGAGTTTTGTATTTTACGCACGGTCGGGTTGAGATGGTTTTGATTGTATTGTTTTGTGATATATGTTGCATTGGTTGTGTGTTTTTAAAATATGCAGTAGTATTGACAGAATGATTGCTCTAGGGCAAACTTAAAACATTGAAATGATGAGGGACTGACCGATAGGAATTATTGAGATAGAGTGTATCTATACTGTAGAGAGCAGCGATCCCAAACATCTTTAGTGCCATGGACCGGTTTAACATGAGACAAAGATTTTCACAACATACAGTCACCCATTGCTTTTATCATCCCTGCATTTAACATTACAGAGCTACAGTATTGTGCCATATGACAAAGACGTAAGGAGAGAATCCGGAAGTAAAGCTTATTTCAGACTCCAAGTTATTTTTGCTTTCCTTGCGGCCCTGTTCCAAATGGGCCATAGCCCGGTACTGCGCCACGAACGGACCGGAGTTTTGGGACTACTGATATAGAGGAGGAGGACTTTTTCTTTTCCCTAAACTCACTGTTAGTAAGAAAGAATGAAGGAGGGACGGGCAACATCCGTCTCTTTACCTTTCTTCATTTGCCTTTCACAATGTTTGGCTTAAATATGCAGCATTGGTTATTGTTTGCTCCTGTGCTATTCTATATCCAATTTCAATAAGAACAAATAAATCCAATCGTAATTTTGAGAAATCTTTTTTTTTCTCCCCTGATTGTCCACTTAGGTTAGGATCTGTCACAGTTAATGCAGTCCAAGTCTTTCTATTTGTGAGTTTGTAAACAAGCATAGTAGTGGCTTGGATGGAGGTCGGAAATGTATTGTCCGCATTAGTCAGAAAGGGCCACTATTCAACTGCAAAGACACTATTGTCACTTATGGAGCCATTCCACAAACATAAAGTTCAGCATCTGAGGATATTTCTTACCAAACACTGACAGTTATCGTTGCTCCAATTTTCAAAGGCCAAGATCGATTGTCGAAAAAGTAAACATTGTCCACTTTTTCTGACCGCAACAGAAAAAAGTTTGTTGGATAAAGTGAATAAACCATCCACAAAATCACAGCTTGCAGCACAACCGGGTTTTCACACCTTTGTGCATCTCAAAATGTGTGTGTGACAACAAAATCTAAGTTCTTTTGTATGTTGTAAACTCTTATTCCTATCTTCTTGTGCATGGAGAGGAAGGCTTGTTTTTTGTGTTGCCCAAACATTGAAATGATGTCTCACACCGGTTGGCCCGCGGTTGATGTGGGATTTCTTTGTCGCCGTGTGTTCCTGCCACATTTGCATAGAAGGCTGTCGGACTAACACCTTTTTACTGTTTTTCTCCCTCAGCTCTGATCGCTATCGGCCAGTACAGCAGCACCATCGAGACCGTGGACGCCGGCTGGTGCAAGGACATCACCGACCAGGGAGCAACGCAGATCGCACAGAGCAGCAAGTCCCTCCGATACCTGGGCCTCATGAGATGTGACAAGGTAATATGGGGGAGGGGAAAAAACATGTCTTGTGTATTGCAATGACACAGAAATGTTGGAATATTCAAAAGATGGCATGTGAAATAGAACACATACTCTTTACTGAGAATGCAGGCTTTATAGTATATTAAACCTTTTTTGGAAAGTTGTATCTACCTCTATCGGTAATCAGGGAAGAGGAAACCATACATGAGATACACAACATCCATCATTCATCAAATCAATGTAAATACTACTGTAAAGGCGGTGACAGATATTTTATGTACTTTTTGAATTTTGTTCCAACACCCTTATTACTACATCATTACACTTCTATTATGTTACTATTAAACCCCTAATACACTCATACACCCTTATTACACTATTAAACCTAATACACATTACTCATAACATATACATTTTGCTTCATGAGAGAAAGATTTTTAGCCCTTGTGTTTGCCCTTTGCTCATCAAACTAGCGCATTAAGGGTTGCCATATTAGGCTGGCATGACACTACAATTCACTCCCTTAAAGCTGCTCTAGAAGCAGTTTTAATCTCATAGCTATGGAGAATTTGGATGGTGGAATGCATAAGAAATCTCATTTGTACAAAAAAACTATAACAAAGTGAAATAGATTTGCTACCATACACCATATACTAAAAATAATCAAATTCTCACTCGCAGTACACGCTATACTATAATGCATGTTAAATCTTTGCCCACTCCATGCTATACTCATACCACATATACCAACCTACCATAGTGCAATGGAAACAGTCACGGCCATCCCTCTGATTGGCCCCCGTGCGCTTATATATGGCGTGGACTCATTGGCTTTGACAGCAGTGGGCTGGTGCAGACTGGGGAGAGGGAAACAGCTGGCTTAACCTAGAAACCTGAGCCCATTGTACAAGCGCAGGTAAATGTGCAGCGGGCTCAAGTCCAAACTCAGGAGGGCCTCCATATGCCGGGGCTGCTCTAATGAGCCAGGCCAGCTTTTTAGGGCCAGCGTAAATTTGGGTTATTTAAAAGACCCCCGCAGAGTTGTGACAACAGCGTGTTCAGGTTGGGAAGATGAGGTGAAGTATTTGGGTCTTGTTGCTCCTCTTTTTACTGTCTTGAAATTGTAACTAAAACATAGCTGTGAAGGTTGATTTTCATATTTTACTTAAACAATTGCTGCCAGTTTGTTCCTGGTTGGACGCAAGAAGTGATTAAAGTAGTAATCTGACAAAAGGCATTATAAATCATGCTCTTTTCCAATACTTCTTTAACTAATAACAGTTCAGGCAAAATTAGTTTAACAGCCCCTAAATCTTGTTCTTGTTTTCATTTTGATGTCCCGCTCTCCGCTGTTTCACCAATTAGAGAGTCTGTGATCCGGGTTGCCAGAACTCACCACGTCGAGCTAATCTCACTGGTAAAGTAACATGTGGCCGCAGAACTAAAAAAGTCATGTTATGATTCTCAAATCATTAATGACAAAACATGAAATAAAACAGGATTTCTTTTTTTGTGAGAAAGATGTTAGTTATAGATTTGTTCTTGACCAAACTCTTGTCTATTCAGTTAATATGGTCCCAGCTGGATTCGTCTGCGTATCTAGCAACCTGAATCAGGGATAGTAGGAGAGGTTGCAGTACCACTTTTGGCCAGATTTGTACATATGGCTCCTTTAAAGCTGGGTACCTAATTTTCAGACCTCCAACAATTGTATATGCAACCATTCCAACTAGTTCCTGGCTGTAAAACAGTTTGGTTCTGTCACTAGTTTTCACTTGTATGTAATATATTTAGACAGAAATCCAAAGCAAGAAGACAACCCTCATTCAACCAATCAGCTCTCTCCCTAAAAGCATCTAATAATATCTCTCTAATTATATGAATTTCACCTTTACCTTTACGTTTTCCTCATAGTCTGCGACATACTGTAGCTTTGTTGGTTGCTTTATCTGTGGCTTCTTTTACTTGTTTATACACTGGGGGGGTATTTTGAAAGCTCCATAACTCTTCATATCCTTATATTACAAAATCTATGTGCAGTACTATGGTTGCCTTTAAGGTTAACCCTGTCTCTTAAGATCGTTACCCCTGACTCGTATTTATTAATAATGTAATAAAAGTGTAAAATACGAGGGGCCTGCCATGACCTCATGATGCTGCCCTGCACTTAATTCCTACTGCCACCCAGTGTATCTATCATATTTATCTAACTGCAATAAAGCCTAACTGCATTACATAACATATGATCACTTGGATTGGATTTTCATATTACTCCGACCTTACGATCAATATCTTCTACCTTGCTCGTAAAATCCTGTTTGAGAGGTGACCCGCTTTGCCAATATAAATGTGTCAAATCTCTGTTGGGGATTGTTTAATAACTCAGAGAGAAAGGTACGGAAAATAAATGGTAAAAGGTAAATGAACATGTTCTTATTCAGGCAGAATTTGTAGCTGTTGTATCTTTTTGTCCCTTCTTGTTCTGCATAATATCCCAACATCTTGTGCTTCTACTTATGACCATTTGAAAATCACTGACCTAGAAGATAAAAATAATTATGTGTGTGTTCGTGGGAATTCCAAATCTGCGCAAAATAAAGAGGTAATTGGAGCCATTAGACTTTATGGAGTGTGGATGGAGCCCAGGGAAGATTTTGACAGTTTCCAAGGTCAAGTGCATTAACTTTGCTAAATCACAGAATAAATTCACCGCCCGCTCGACTCAATTGGTCATTTTGCTCCCAATATGCTGCAGGTAACATGTTGTTTATGAGAATGAGGCAGGGGGAGCGTGAGAAAAGCTCTGGTTTGCTCTGAGAGGCTGCGCTTGTTACAATATTACTTGACTTTTGACTTTTTATCTATGTACGATACGTCAATAAACTATTAAGGTGTTGTATGAGTGATGACTTTCATGACTCCTAAAGCACTTTATAAATCTTGATTCATTCATTCTGTGAAACTTGGAAAATTAGAATATTGTTCATAAGACCATTCACTTTTTGAATCACTTTTCCTCTAATGTTTGTTGTTTTACATGTTTTAGCTTGAATGAAAGAAAGTAATTAAACTTTTGAATAATGTTCTTATTTTCCAAGTTTCACATGTAGATTTGGTGGTGCTAAAGTACTGTAGCCACAGCTGGGATAAGTAATGTTTTTGTTGTCATCAGATTGATTGATGGTCAGTCCTGATCGGCTCTGACTGTTTTTGAGGTAGAGGAAATTGGACTTCCCTGAGGTACGCGGATATAGGGAGAACATGCAAACTCCACTCCAGATGAGATGAATCCCAAGATTACATTGTAACAGGCTTGCCGTGTTTAAACTGAGGTATCTACCTAACTTATATAATGATATATAAATAATATGTTTGGTTTGTTCCAAGTGAAAGAGTTTTTTAAAAGTAACATTTTGTAAATCATTCCCCAACAGGCATTTTAGTAGAAAACATATCAACTGTTGCACTCATGTTAGAAAGATTGCAGGGGCAAGTCACTATTTGATTCTTTTAAAACAAGTGAGAATCCCAAACTGTTCTGAAAGCGAGGAACTAGGTTTTCTTACATATTTATTAATGAGTTTGCTTTAATTGAGATAGAAAATGTTAATGCTTTTCTGATGATTTTCTGCAGAACTAGTGGATAGTTACTTACCTTACTCCAGTTATTTTAGAGCAAAAATACAGCAGCCTAAAGAGACCAAGAGATGTGTAAACATGTTGTTATCGTAGTTGCAGTAAAAACAAACATCTAAAGTACCTCACATAGAAGTCGACGTCATCGCTAAAATGCAATTCCCTTCGGATATTTATCACCTGTTTTCCAATCCATCCACCACAAAACATCATGTACACACACAAATCTGACCACGAGTGAACTTCGCTGAACTTTTGCCCCGTGTCCGTCTTTCTCACCGCCAGTGCTTATACCGGTCAAATCAATATCTCACAGCTCTCCAAGAAATTGTTTTCGGTTTCGGCGCCACACATTTAATTTGTTCATTAAGCTTTCCTGATTAGGGCTTGACGTCGGAGCAGTTGGAAGAGCTGTGTCATGGCGGTAAAAATCCCTCACCATGTCCAAGTGGATCTCAGGAGGACAGATCTCATTTGTGCACTTCAGGCAGACATGGGAAAACACGCCGTTCACACACGTTTAATAGCGGCCTTGTGCAAAAGATTCGAGCCTAAATCCGCACAAAGCCTCCTTCTCACACAAATCAACTTGTTTTGTTTCATTTCTATTGCAATTGTTCGCAATCTTTTCCATTGGCACCACTTCCTTCCTTGAGTATTTACTAGCCGCATGTTTTTCCTGTAGTGAAGAGAGAGAAGTAAGCTGCATTTGCCTTCAGAGAAGTCTTTTATGTGCCTTTGCTTGAACGAAACAAGATTAGAAGCTCCGATTCACTGGGTCTGAACGTTACACAATCAAAACAAGTTTTTTTTTTCTTACACCTTTTGCTCATAAGTTCTTTTTTGATTTGTGATATAGCATTATTATAAGCGTACATTGAAATTCTACATAACCATGACATAAAATGCAAATGAGTTATCCGACAGAAATCCTTGCGTCTTCTTTTCAAAATCAATCAATCAATCAACTCTTATTTTTAGAGCGCCTTTCTTACACAAGGCAACGCAAAGCTCCTCACAACCCATATCACATCAGGCATAAATCATGAACATTAAAACCTACTTAAAATTATGGTTAAAACAAACAAAGTTGCGATATGTAAGATTTTCATGTCAAAGCCTCATTAAATAGCCCTAATATGTCAAAAGACAATTATAAACCATGCTATTTTTGAATACTTCTTAAGCTGATAACAGTAGTTCAGCTGAGATATTTGAATATCAAAATGAGTTTTACAGCCCCATCTTGTTATTGTTTTCATTTTGATGTCCCGCTCTCCACCGTTTTTCCAATCAGAAAGTCTGTTGTCTGGGTTGCCAGAACTCACCGTGTCGAGCTAATCTCACTTGTAGAAGGTCTTGTTATGATTCTCAAATCA